GGGGGGGGGGGGGGCAGGGCGGGGCTGGAGTTAGTGAGGGGCGTGACGAAGAGTTGAGGGTGTGGCCTGGGTGCAGTGGGTGGAGCCAAGGGTTGAAGGACAGGGTTAGAAAGAGGCCTCTGGATGTGGAGGAAGGGGAGGAGAACCCTCAAGAGCTCCCAATGGGCAGCACTGCGAGAAGTCGGAGGGTCTAACTCGGCGCACCTCCCTCCAGACATAAGGCAGCCCAAGCAGAATGCGGGGCTTTGCTCCCCACCCAGAAGAGAAGCAGGCCCTAGCCCACTCTGCCTGCCAAGCCCTCTCCCCAAAGCCCAATCTCCCCATCAGACCCTGTGGCCCACTCAGACCACAGGAAGCCAGGAGACCCCAAATGCCCTCCTCCCATCAAAACCTGGGGTTTTGGCACTCACAGGGGGACACTGGGCCAGCTTCTCCGAGGCTGCTATTTGGACGTTGAGGTGTTTGGACTGAGACTTCCCTCGGGACTTGATGAGCCTCTGAAGGACCTGGTGCAAGGAGAGGAGGTGCTGGGGGACCCAGGCAGTGCACCCAGGCAGGCAGGTAGGTTGGGGTTCATTCTCTAGGCTCACCCCACCCCAAACTCGGGCTAACAACCACAATGCCCCTTGATGGGCACCTACGAGATATCAGAGCTCTTCCAGCTTTTGGGGGAAGGAGCTGAGATCTCTCTGTGTTGCCCATGCTGGCCCCAAACAGGTGCTGGGTGGTAGCAACCCTCCTGCCTCAGCATCCCAAAGTGCTGGGGCTACAGGTGTGTCTGACCTAACCCGAATGTTCTGTGACTAACAGCCCTACTAGCTGCCATCCCCATAATAATACTGCCATCCCTATAATAATAATAGCAATGATACTAAAATCCAAAACCTAAATCTAGTCATAGGAAACATCAGACAAAGCCAAACAGAGGAACAGTCTACAAGAGCTGCTCAAGCTGGGATGGTGACTGCATGCTTGTAATCCCAGCACTCAGGAGGCTGAGGCAGGAGGATCCTGCTGATGCCTGAACTACACAGCCAAACTCTGTCTCAAAAGCAAACAAAATCTGATCTGTACTCTTCTAAAATATCAGTGTCATGAAAATACAGCTGAAGATCTGTCCCTTATGAAAGAAAACTGAGACCTAACAACCAAATGCAATATTTGAGCCCCTGGGTTTATTCCTGAATTAGGGAAAATATCAGTGTCTTTATTTACTTTTCTTTCATTTGGACTGGGGATTTAACCAAGGGAATAAGGGATGGGCCAGGGATTTAGCTCAGTGGTTCCACTGCCTGCCTCACAGGCTCAGGGTCCTGAGTTTGATTCCCAGTACCCCCCATGCACACACACAAAAGGGAATAGGGAATACTGAGATACATCTCCAGCCCTTTTTTTGTACATATTTTATTTTGAGAAGGGTCCTGCTAAGTTGCCCGGGCTGGACTGAGCTTGTGATACTCCTGCTTCAGCCTCCTGAGTGGCTGCGATCACAGATATGCATCATCACACCTGGCTTGGAAGGGGCATTACTGGAACCATCAGTGAAAAATGAATATGAATCGCATTGTGTGTGTGTGTGTGTGTGTGTACTGGGGACAGAACCCAAGACCTTTCACACGCTAAAGAAGCAATTTGGATTTTTAAAAAATAGTACAGATGCAGTGCTTGGTGGGTAGCAGGCATTCCGCGTGATCGATCTGTTTATTTCATATTCACAGCAGTCATTTGGGCATGTCTCTGTTGCAGATGAAGAAACTAGGGCGCAGAGACACTTGGCATTTGACTTGCCGCAGAAACACGGTGCTGGAAAATGACAGCGCCGGACAGGAAGCCCAGCCGACCGGCTCCAGCAAGTCCTGGCCCTTAACCTCAGTGGGGAAAGCATTTGCTTCTTTCTAGGTCAGGAAGCGTTTCTTTGTCCATTATCTCCTTTGATCCTCTCAACCTCCTCACCTCTGACTACTTCAATCTCACCAGCCCTTTTATCTCATCAGAGAGGGAGAACTTCGAGAGGTTAAGGAACTGGCCCGGGGTGCTCAGCTCCTAACACGCTACCACAGCACAGTAACAGCTATCACCGCTGGCCAGCATCCTGAGTCACACAGGATCCTGTGAGCCCAGCCCTGGGGAGGCTGAGGCAGGAGGATCACCAAGAGTTTGAGGCCAGCCTGGGCTACACAGTGAGACCCTGTCTCAAAAAACAAAAAAGACACTGAGAGTGGAGCTCAGTGGTAGGGCACATGCACAAGGCCCTGGGTTTCATCCTCAGCACCAAAAATAATACAAACAGTAATAACACTAAGGAGATAATGCCCCCCTTTGTTTGGTACCAGGGTTCGAACTCTAGACCTTGTGCTTGTGAGGCAGGCAGCGAAAACACTGAGCTAAATCCCCGGCCCATACCCCTATTCTGTAGGTGAATAAATTGAGACTCAGACTCTAAATAATTCCCCCAATCCTAAAATCAATAGCAGCAACAAACTACAGACAACATTAAATAAATATGTAAGCCAAACAGGGCAAGAATTTGAACCCTAGGCCATCTTCTCATTTCAAAACGTTCTCCTAGGGCTGGGGATTTAGCTCCGTGGTTCCACTGCCTGCCTTGCAAGTGCAAGGACCTAAGTTTGAGCCCCGGTACTAAAAAAACAAAAACAAAAAACCTCCTAAACACTTCTCCCTAGTTTCCCAAGTCCCTGCTACCATCCAGAAGGGAAGGTTCAGGGGGTCGCAGTATGACAAGGATTCAAATCAGCCTTCCTCCCCAAATCCCCTCTAGCAAGTTGCCAATGAGGCTTGGCACAGTGCCACAGGCGTGTAGCCCCAGATACTCAGGAGGCCGAGGCAGGGGGATCACAAGTTCAAGGCCAGCCTGCGCAACTTGACAATACCCTGACTCAAAACCAAATTATTTTCCCTCGGTACTGGAGATCAAACTCAAGACCTTGTGTTTGCCAGGCAGGTTCAGCACCACTGAGCTAAATCCCCAGCCCCCAAAACCAAAATTTTTTAAAAAGGGATGGAGATATAGTGCTAGAGCTGTTGTCCAGCATGCATTAAGACCTGGGTTCAATTCCCATACCGATGAATAAAACCAAACAACAAACTTCATCCAAGGACAACATAGCAAAATGAAGGCTGATATCAGAAAAGACCTCCCAACTGCCAAGGAGCTGGGTGACACTGGAACAGAAAGCAGAGAATTCTTAGCCGGTGGCTAAGGACTTAGCTCAGTGGTTCCGGCTCCTGCCTTTCAAGTGCAAGGACCCGAGTTCGATCCCTGCTACAAAAAAAAAAAAAGGAATTCTTAGCCAGGTACAGTGGTGATCCCCGTGATCCCAGCACTCAGGGGGCTGAGGCAGGAGGAACACCCCAAGTTTGAGGCCTGCAAAACCCTCTCTCAAAAGAACACCAAATAATAGTAATAATAACAACAACAACAACAACAACAACAACCTCACAATGAGGCGGATGGCAGCAGACCTTCCCTAGGTGTTGTGCCTTCCTGTAAGATTGCGCCTTCACATTCACAACCACACGATATAGGTCTTCAGGGAGGGAAACTGAGTCTCGGGGGCATTAGGTCACCCAGGTAGGAAGCAGCGGGTAAACTGAGGCCACCCTCCGCCGGACCCTGCGCCCACCTTGGGGGAGGTGATCTTGATGTAAACAACGATGGGCGCGAGCGAGGTCTTGGAGAGCTGGGCCGGGTGGTTGATGGTGTCGGCGTCCAGGGCGACCAGCTGCAGAGTCCGGGCCAGCTCGAAGATCCGCTCAATCTCACTCTGCACCTCGGCTGGGGTAGGGGAGCCGTGGGGAGGGGAAGGTGAGGCAGAGGCAGCGGCAGCAGCTGGCACGGGGGCCCCCGCCGCCACCACCCACC